GTAAATGCTTAAAACGAAGATGGCTAGCGGGGCGCACCATTTTCGCCCAGGCATATACGTTTGCTTGTATGTGAGTATACGTATGCATGTAGGTCTGTGTGTTCCTGTTTCTCTCAGCCTGTTATTCGCACACGTCTCTGTGTCGGTTGCCGTGTACGTCTATCGGTGTTCTTCCAAGTCTGTGTCCGAGTACACGTAACATACCCAACCGACCCCTGCGTCAGTCATTCATTTAGTTCAGGGTGGCGGGAGGAAAGGAGTAGTGGTATGAGGGACTTGGGTGAGAGGTAGAAAGAGGGGCTGGTGGGGTTGATGGGCGGACCACCCCCAACCCACCCCCGGCAGATCGATACAACCCCCATTTCACCCCTCTGCCACCCCCAACTTTACTTATTATACATTCCCACCCCCCAAATCCCCGCGTCTCATTATCTTTGCTATTGCAAAGGAAAAATCGAGAAAGCTTTAGAAACACATATGTATGTATATATGAGGATACATATGTATTGAAATGCGAAAATTGAACGAAATTTTTTTATTCTTAACAACGTATTATTTTTCTTACGCGAGAAAATATATATGTAATATGTTGTTCCAGGTAAATATTGTCATGAGAATTCTGAATATTGCAACAGTAACGGCGACACGTTTTAGATTCTTTAACTTTCAATGGAAGATTATATATAATATAATTTTATTTTTTTAAAACATTGTTTTTTCATGCTTTTTTAGTGCGAACGTAGGAATGATAGTATTGAGAGACTGCGCTTTCATCATCACGAATCATTCGAACCTATGAAGAAGAATATTTTTAAACTAACATAGTAAATGAATTTTGTTAATTGCATTGATTATATCGCATTATTTATCTCTTTTGCCAAAATCATCAATTGTATGTAATACGAGTAGTATCGAAATATTAATTATTCTGATAAAAAAATTTACTTTTTAATAAGTAACAATCTTTTGTAATTAATAAAAAAATATGTTAACACTCTTCACTTTACAGATGCTTACTGATTTGCAACGTCATGCGAAGCGAAATAAATAATGTTAATTTCTGATCATACAATGTATTAGTATTAGTACTTAATAACCTAAACATTTACAAAAAATAGTTACAATACCAATTTTTATAAATTACACGTCCAAATATAATACTAGTTGAATAGAATATCAATTATACAAGAAAATGTTAAATATACCATAATATGCATCTGTATATAAAAAATAACTTCAGAGCAAAAAATTAATTTTATATTGGAATGTTATACAACATAAATATTTTCAATATTATTAGAATGCAATATAATAAATATCGTTTATGATAATATAAATTTTACTTACACTGATGTTTATCTGCAAGCATGATTAATGTCGATGGCAAATCCCTCCGCCTAAAGAAGCACATAACTTTTGCTTCAACATTTCCACTTGCCGTCTGAAATAAATTAAATATATTAAAAAAAATAAATAAATAAAAGAAAAAAGTAAGATATATTTATTAGTAATTTGTATTTAAATTATTATCTACTACTTAATCTGATAATTTATAATATTGTTTAATTCAATTTAAATACTATTCTATAAACAAATATAAAATTTATATTTACAACAATTGTAATAAAAAAATACTACAGTCAAATTCATTTCTCACCTTATTTAATTCTTCTATCCTCCTTATCTGGTAGGGAGATGTGGAAGATGTTTCAAAATATACATAATCTACAAATTAAAAAATAAAAGTCTATGTAATATTTTTTCATTTTTAAGAGAAGATTTATCTGTAGCGTGTGTGTGTGCACGCGCGCGCGTTATATGTGTGTGTGTGTGTGTGTGTGTGTGTGTGTGTGTGTGTGTGTGTGTGTGTGTGTGTGTGTGTGTGTGTGTGTGTGTGT